TGATATTTGAAATAGTGTTTTTTTTTTAATGTTTATAGAGGGCAAGGTGGAAGTGTCGCGAAATGGAAAATACATGAGCACCCTCGAACATGGAAAAGTGTTAGGCGAATTGGCGATCCTTTATAATTGCAAGAGAACAGCGACGATAACTGCAGCTACTGATTGTCAATTATGGGCCATCGACCGGCAATGTTTCCAAACGATTATGATGAGAACTGGCCTCTCGAGGCAGGCCGAATACACCGACTTCTTGAAGAGGTAAATGAATAACATAATCCATACTTACGTTAGAATTATTAATTAGATGACGTTTAAAATGTGATACCTTGCTTCATTTAATCTTTCGGATTCTAAAGGAAGTTATACATGAAATTACAGCCAAATTAAATGAATATTAAAGAGTACAGTGAATTGAATTTATTTCAGCGTTCCCATCTTCAAGAATCTGCCAGAGGAAACTCTGATAAAGATCTCCGATGTATTAGAAGAGGTACGAAGCTTATAAAAAATCTATATTATTAATCTATTTCCTATAAAATGTAACATACATATTTCATTCTTCATCGTAGACTTTCTACAACAACGGAGATTACATAATCAGACAAGGAGCCAGAGGAGACACGTTCTTCATAATAAGCAAAGGACAAGTACGCGTTACGATAAAGCAGCCAGACACTCCCGAAGAGAAATATATCAGGACGTTGGGCAAGGGTGATTTCTTCGGCGAAAAAGCGCTTCAAGGGTAATTAATTCATTGCTTTAAATTTAATTTTCAATTTTCAAAACAATTTAAACTTATGGCAATTCCTTTAGGGATGATCTACGAACGGCGAATATAATCGCGGACGATCCGGAAGGAGTCAGCTGCCTGGTAATCGATCGGGAAACGTTCAATCAATTGATCTCGTCTTTGGATGAGATTCGTACGAGATACAAGGACGAGCTTGTCGAACGCAGAAGGTAAAGCTTCTTCGTACTCATTATTACAAATATTTTTAATCAACTGATTTTATTAACCTGACAAAAACTCATTTCCTTCATACACAATATATTTTAATACAAGCATCGAATTATTGGACTGGGAATTCCTTATTAACTTAGTTTATGTATTATAATAATTTTCCTGAGTCTTGTTAATACTAATTAATAGACTGTGGAATTTTGTGCAACGCGATACATCCATTCTCTCTCTATTTTTTACGTATGCATAAAATCCGCAGTCTGCTAATTATCGTAATTGATTGACTTACATTCGTTATGAATATAATTCCTGATTTACGCGTGTTTCACGCTCGCTCAGGATCGGAGAGTAGAGTAAGTACCAGATCTGAGATTATGCAAAAGATTCTAAACGAATAAATGTGCATAATAATATAGCAAATCCTATAAAATACTCAATCTTAGTATATT